GGAGGGGGGGAGGGGGCTGTTTTCGGGGGAATGCCCAGAGGTTTTGAAAATCCCATCCTTGGCAATTTGCATATTTCATGCAAACACTTGCCAGGGTTGGGATAGAGACTCTGCCTCGCCGGGCTTTGAAGTTTCCTGAGCGCACTGTCTGTGGGGTGGGAGAGGCGCCTTCGAGGAGGGTTTGGAAAGAGGGAGCTGCCAGCCCGAGCCCCTGCTCCAGACCCCTTAGTGAGGCAGAATAAACCCACTGCCGGGTGACACGTGGGCTGCAGGGGCAGGAAGCAAAGGGAGGAGAGTAGCAGCACTTTGCTCTTGCAGTGGAGGAGACAAAGGTTGTGGGACGTCTGCTCAGATAACACGTTCCGGTGTCAGCGTAGTTTGCATTCCAGGAGGGATTTGGGAGCAGTAATGGGGCTAATGGAGCTGCTTAGGACAGGGATGGTGCCACCTCCCCGTTTCCTCTTTCTCTGTTTTCCTATGTCCCCAGAAATCGGGGGAGCTGGTTGCTGTGAAGGTCTTTAACAATGCCAGCTACCTCCGGCCCCAGGAGGTCCAGATGAGAGAGTTTGAGATGCTGAGGAAGCTGAACCATAAAAACATTGTCAAGTTATTTGCCGTGGAAGAGACAGTAAGTGGGACCCCGACTCAGAAACCTGCTGGGGGGACTGGGCCAGCACCGTGGCAGAGCTGGTCTGAGCTGTGGAGGGGAGCAGTGATCTGGAGTTGGTGGTCTTCTCCTCCCACCTCTCCCTGGCTCCACACCAAGCCTCAGCCCAGCCCTTCACTGGGGGCACTGGGTCACTGGGCTGGAGCACGGACGTGACCTGCTGTTGTGCCCTGGTCAGGTGCATGGCACAGTGGGGACATTCTCCAACACTGGTTTGCCCGGGCAGGAGAAACCCAGGGACCCATCAACCAAGGGAGGGGACCCTGCCTGGGGTGGGGGACAGGCCAGCAGCTGGGGCACGGGGCTGGCCGAGCCCTCAGGGCTGCTCCCCCCGCAGGGCAGCAGCAAGCAGAAGGTGCTGGTGATGGAGTACTGCTCCAGTGGCAGCTTGCTGAACGTGCTGGAAGACCCAGTGAACGCCTTCGGCTTGGCCGAGTCCGAGTTCCTCATCGTGCTGCAGTGTGTGGGTGAGTGCTGGGTCCCTGCCACCACGAGCCACAGCCTGGGCACCTCCCGGTGCTGGTGGCACCCTGCGGGCACCAGCCCTGGGCTATGGACCTCTGAGGGTTGGGCTCAGCAGAGAGAAGCTGCACCTCCAAAGGAGGTGGGTTTGGGAGCTCCCACCAGCCCTGGGGTTTCTCCCATCTCCTATTCCTACCTCTAAACAAGACCCTCTGGAGCAGAGTGCTGCAGCCCCGCAGACCAACGCTGCCCCCCCTGCTTGTGCCCAGTGGCAGGGATGAACCACCTCCGGGAGAACGGCGTCGTCCACAGGGACATCAAACCCGGGAACATCATGCGGCTGGTGGGGGAGGACGGGCAGAGCATCTACAAGCTGACGGATTTTGGGGCCGCCCGAGAGCTGGATGATGATGAGAAGTTTGTGTCAGTCTACGGGACGGAGGAGTATCTGGTGAGTATGATGGGTGGCAGGGCTGGGAGTCCTGGGGGAGCTGCTCCCCACCCACCATCTGGGCAGCTTGGGGAGAGAGGAGCAGTGGCTCGGAGAGCCCCATCCCAAAGGGGCCACGTCTTTATGAAGAGGGGGGGGCTCAGCGTTTCTGTTGTAGAGTTAGAGGTGACGTTTAGGCTGGAGGAGCCAGCAGCAGGGGAGGCCTTGGCGAGCGGTGGGTTGGCAGTGCCAGGCTGGCAGTGCCACTCCCGGGGGGTCCCCGCAGCACCCGGACGTGTACAAGCGCGCGGTCCTGCGCAAGCCCCAGCACAAGTCCTACGGCGTCACCGTCGACCTCTGGAGCATCGGTGTCACCTTCTACCACGCTGCCACTGGCAGCCTCCCCTTCGTCCCCTTCGGGGGTCCTCGCAGGAACAAGGAGATCATGTAGGTACCTGCCTGGGTGCTGCCGCTGGGGGAGGTGGGACCCGGGCTGGTGGCCCTGGGGGCTGGAGGGCAGCCTGGCGGTGGCTCGGGGTGTGCCAGCAGCACTGTGCCACTGGGAGCTGTAGTTTGCTGCTCGTTTAATCCCATGAAGCCCTGAAACGTGGCCCGTGGAGAGCGTGCGTGGTGTGGGAGAGGATCCCTGTCCCATTTACCACCTTTCCCTCAAAATGCATTCTCGTGTCTTTGTGGCCACGCAGCCTGAAAAAGAGGCAGGGTTTGGGGTGTGTGAAGAAGAGTGTGGCCAGCAGGTCGAGGGGGGTTCTCCTGCTCTACTCTGCTCTAGTGGGGCCACCTCTGGAGTACTTGATCCAGTGCTGGTCTCCCCAGTTTAAGAGAGGCAAGGAACTACTGGACAGAGTCCAGTGGAGGCTCTGAAGTTGCTGAGGGGCTGGAGCATCTCTGTGCCAGGCCAGGCTGAGAGCCCTGGGGCTGTGCAGCTGGAGAGGAGAAGCCTCAGAGGGGATCTGAGCAGTGCTGAGCAAGAGCTAAAGGGCCCCGGGGGGCAAGAGGCTGGGGCCAGACTCTGGTCAGTGGTGCCCAGGGACAGGACAAGGGGCAACGGGCACCAACTGGAACCCAGGAGGTGCCACCTGAGCAGGAGGAGAAACTTCTTTGGGGTGAGGGTGCAGAGCCTGGAGCAGCTGCCCAGAGAGGCTGTGGAGTCTCCTGCTCTGGAGAGATCCCAAACCTGCCTGGCTGTGACCCTGGGCACCCTGCTGTGGGTGAGCTGCTGGAGCAGGGGGGTGGATGAGATGATCCCCAGAGGTCCCTTCCAACCCCACCATGCTCTGATTGTGATTCTGTTTATGGTTGCTTGCAAGTTTTTGTCTGTTTTTTCCAAGTACCTTCCCTCTGTGTATTTTTTGTTCTGTCTGTGGGCCGTGCCTTTCCCAGCCCATCCACTCTTGGCCCTTTCCCTCTCTGCTGCACCCGAGGGCCATGGTGCCCAGAGGTCACTGGGCTCATGTCAGCTACAGGCAGTTCCCTTTCCACAGGTACAAAATCACCACGGAGAAGCCTCCTGGAGCCATCGCGGGCGTCCAGCGGCAGGAGAACGGGAGCATCGAGTGGAGCTACGAGCTGCCCATCACCTGCCAGCTCTCCACGTGGGTGTCCCTTGGGCTCAGCTCTGCCCCGAGGGGACGGCTGCAGGAGGGGGGGCTGCACATCCCCCCGCCCTGGGAGCCACCAGGGTCACGGCTCAAGGCTGTGCCAGGGGGCAAACCTCTCTCCTGCTGCCGCAGGGGGCTGAAGGACCAGCTGATACCCATCCTGGCTAACATCCTGGAGGTGGATCAGGAGAAGTGCTGGGGATTCGACCAGTTTTTTGCAGGAACCAATGACATCTTGCAGAGGATCGTGGTCGACGTGTTCTCCCTGCAGCAGGCTTCCTTGCACCGCATCTACATCCACTCCTACAACACGTAAGGGTGCCCAGGCCCTCTTCAAAGTGAATTTGGGAGTGAGCTCGGGAGCCTCAGCCCCTGGGGGGAGCGCCTGTTCCCCCTGCACCAGTTAAACCAGATTAAAACAAACCAGGCTCAGACCAACCTTTGCACTAACCAGGAACTCTTGGCACATGGAGAGCCCTATGGAGGTTGTCTGAGGGGCTCCACTGACTTTTTGGGATATTTTGCTATGAGGAGAGGACAGCAGGCTGTTAAAATGATGGAAATCTGGGCGCTCACCTCATTGCTCATTCCTCACCCTTTCGTTTCTTCTTCATTTCAGTACCACCAAGTTTTTAGATGCTGTCTTCAAGCAAACAAATATAGTCCCTCACCATCAAGAATATTTTTTTGAAGGTCATCTGTATGAGCTGGATCCCAATCTACAAGCTCATAATTTCTGCAGAACCACAGAGGACAATCCTCTGACCTTGCTGAGCACCACTGAGCAGCCAGAAGATGTGGTAGGAGTGAGATACAGAGACCGTGAGTACTGTTGGCTGGGAGCTGTGTCACAGTGGGTGCTGTGAGAGAGCTGTGCTGGAATTATTACCCTGATATTAGGGGGGTGGAGGGGTGGTGATGCTGGCACAGGATTAGGAGGTTTCAGGATCAGTTTTCCCCAGCCATATGCTGGTGCTCCTGGGCTTTGCAGGCAGTTCGTGCCTTCACCCGTGTTCCCAAAATATCTTGGAGGGCTGCACTGAGCCCCCAGCCCTGCAGCTGCTGCCCTGCCTGCAATGCTGAGCGGCTCCAGGCTTCTCTTGGGTGGGGGTGACATGTCCTGGTGGCTCTGCAGCCAGGGCCAGGGGGCTCCCAGCTCACCCCGTCACCGCCCTCTGTCCTTCCAGCGGCACTGGAGTTCCCAAAGCTGGTCCCCAAGGTGGACGTGGTGGCCGACTGCAGCGCAGCCAAGGTAGGCGGGGGTGTCCCCGGCCCTGGGGAGCCCCGGCCGTGGGGGTGCAGCCCCCAGCAGTGCCCCTCCTTGCCTTGCAGAGCG